ATGGTGGGGTTTTTGTGCCAAAAAACTTGGTGCACTGAGATGGCTGTATGAGCAGGTGCATTGTTGTGCAAAACCAGTCCCCTTCTGCAGGTCTTTTTTTGTCGCACACTGTTACGCAATCTTTTCAGAACCTCTAAATAGAAAGCTTGATTAACAGTCTGACCTGGTGGAATGAACTCCAAATGCATTATCTCCCTCACATAAAAAAAAAAAAAAAAGAGCATCATCTTGATCATTGATTTCACTTGACAAGCCGTTTTTGGGTAGGTGACAATGGTGTCTTCCACTGGTTTTACTGATGTTTGCTTTTGGGGTCTTACGAACAGCACCACGTCTCATCACCAATGATGACCTTAGAGAAAAAGTCTGGGTCATTGTGGAACTGTTCTTTCAAAGCACAGCATGTTTCCACTCAATGCTCTTTTTCCTAATTAGTCAGAACCCCAGGCACAAATTTCACAATGATTCTTCTCATTCCCAAATCTTCCGTTAATTCGCTGAACTGAGCTCCAAGATAGTCCAGATAACTCCCCCATCTCTTCAATGGTCTGTTGTTGGTCTTAGAGCACAAGTGCACAAACTTTGTTGACATTTTTGTCCATTCAGGAAGCTGATGGATATCCAGAATGAGGTTTGTCATCAATCGACATTTCACCTTTTTTGAAACAAGAAAACCACTTGTACACTTGCGTTTTTCCCACAGTTTTGTTCTTGTAAGCTGTGCTTAACATCACAACAGTTTCTGTGGCATTATACCTGAGCAGGAAACAAAACTTCACAGCTGTACGCTGCTCTCTTAAATCAGCCATCACAAAAAACGCGGTTCCAGCGAAACTGCTTATATGAAAAAATTCACTGTGGCCAGAGAGAACCTTCCCAGGCGATGCCACTGGGTGCACTAACTCAGAGCAAGTTGCTTGATGCTTGTGTAAATGGACAAATGAGTACTAAGAAAGTTCCATCCAGCAGAGTTTTTTTTTCCCATATTTTGGGGGGGGGGTACCTCTTAGTATGATTTCCCCGCCCCCCTAGTCAGTAGGTTGTCCTCTCACTTTTTTATGAAGTCTTTGACTGGATGGAATTTTTTCATTTTTATGAGTTTCCATGTATTCATTCTGTATTTGGCTGTTTTTGCTTTTAAAAAAAAATGTTATATAATCATTTGCTGAATACTAAGCCTTATGGAGTTGCCCCAGCTTATTCATCTAAGGATGTTATGGTTTTAGATCGCATATTTAGGTCCTTAATTCATTTTAAATTTGTTTTGGTGTATGGTGTGAGGCAAGGATCTTGTTTATTTTTCTGCATGCAGCAGTCCAATTTTCCCAACACCATTTCCCACCCCTAATTCCTGTCGAATGGCTTACATTTTATTAGTGAGCCAGAACCATGTATTAAAGAGATTATTTTTTCAGCAATTAATTAACTTAGCACTTTTGATTTAAAAAATCATTTGATAAGAAGTATTTGGGGTTAGTTCTGAAATTCCCACTTCATTCCATGGGTTTATATACCTAGTGTTATACCAGTACCAGGTAATTTTGATTGCTGTAGTTGCATACTATGTTTTTGATAGTATGTTTTAAAATCAGACAGTATGGGTTCTCCTACCTTATTCTTTTTTCAGCGCTGTTCTATTTGCCCCTTTCCTTCTTAATAGGAGCCCTGGTAATGTAGTGGCCTTGGAACATTGAGTTGCTAATACAGGTTAGAAGTTCAAATCCACGAGCGTTTCTGAATGAGAAAGATGAAGCCTTCTGTTTCCATGAAAATCTACAGCCTCAGAAACCCACAACAGTAGTTCTATCCCATCCTACAGAGTCACTGTGAGTTGGCATTGAACTTGATGGCAGAGTATTTTTCTTAATGAGGTTTTCTGCCTCCAATTTGCACACTATCTACATTGCTAGATTATATGAAGCACAAATTTACTCATCTCACGCAGCTGAAAATATCAACATTTTCCACTATTGCCTACTGAGCAGGACAGATTCTAAATTCCTTAGAATGACCTAGAAGACACTCATTTCCCCTATTATCTCTCTCTTGACTATTCCATTCCATGTTCTATGTTCATATTGAACTGTTTGGCTCGTCCCAGAGATTCTGCTTTTCACTCCCTTGGGACTTTGTATAACACATTCTCAGTGTTTATGGCACTCCTTCAAGTCTCAGCCAAGACTTTTTTCCAAAGTCTTGTGTGTACAAGCACTCTCTTCCCCGAATCTTTGGTTTTGAAGTCTTCATTCATTCTAAGAAACAGGATGGGCTGCGTGCTATTTGAGAACAGGGATTGTTTTATTCCACTTTATGTACTTCTAGGCCTAGCTGGAGACCCTGGTTGCCTGGCTGAGAAAATTAATTCAAGATCTTCCTCTGTGCTTGGGATGGTAGATGCAAACTCCATGTGAGTAGTAAGCACTTGAATGTGGCTGGTCCAAACTGAGAAAGGCTTTATGATGTGCCAAGTGGCAAGTCCGGCTGGTAGCACAGGGGTTATCTTCCTCAGGGCAAGTCCCATTTGAGAGGCTTGTACAGGATTAGAGATGTGTGTGTGTGTGTGTGTGTGTGTGAGAGAGAGAGAGAGAGAGAGAGAGAGAGAGAGAGAGAGAGCACAAAGAGCTAAGCAAAAGTTTTACTCTTTAGGTGAGAAGGACCCCTTAAGCGTGAACAAGATACACCTCAAAAGTGAAATGGGTCCCCTGTCAAGGTGAGAAGGACCCTGTTTAGGTGGAAGTTTCTTGTTTTGTTTTTTTTCATTTCTTGTTTTTAGAGGCACAAAGGTGGAGATCACAATCCTGCAAATGATCAAAGAGCTTTCTAATTCACCCAGCCTGTCCTTGGGACTCCAGCATGTTTTCTTACAAATTTATCTGGGTTCCAGTTCCAGGTCAGAATGCTTCAAATTTATCTCAGGCTACAAGTCTATGTCAGGGTACTTACCCGGCCTGATCTCAAGGCCAAGGTGTTTACTAGGCCTGTTCTCCCAGGATCACTGCGCCCTTAGCATGCATAAGTCCTTATGCAGTCCCTGTCAGGTTTTAAGTGTAAAATAACATTTGAGGTGGAAGATTTAGGGGTGTGAGAAGAATGAAATTTCCTGATTCCTTATATTAATTAAATGTTGAAGGGATAGTTTGCATGCAGTCCAAACAAACAAACAAAAAACACTGCTGTCAAGTTGATTCTGACCCATAGCCGCCTGATAAGGCTAAGTAGAACTGCCCTATAGGATTTCTGAAATTGCCTCATCTTTCTCCCAGGGAACAGCTAGTGGGTTTAAACCATTGACCTTTCAGTTAGTAGCTCAGTGCTTAGCCCACTGTGCCACAAGGGCATCTTCTGCATAGAGTGGCCTGATATAAAGTTCATGGAAAAATTCTATTCCCTTTTAATTCCATTTTCCCAGAAATTTTGAAGCTTCCATGTGTATAAGGCTAAATAAAATCCCCAAACTCAAGTTGTCAATTAGATTTCCATTCATCCAGGCCTAGTACCCAGGCCTGTAGCTAAATCCTTATGAGGTTGTCAAGGCTGTAATCTGTATGGGGACAGACTGCCTTATCTTTCTCCTACAGAGCAGCTGGTGTGTTCAAACTGTTGACCTCTCAGCAGCTCAAAGCTTAACCCACTGCACGACCAGTGCTCCTTTAAGTTAAAAAAAAAAAGGATTAAAATTAATCCAATTTGTACCTGTTTACTTTTTCTTAAACATGGTTACTGTTGTTATTGTCATACAGTTAATGCTAGTCCACGGTGACCTTATTTATATAGAAGAAAACAAAATGTTCCCATACCATCCTCATAATCTTTGTTGTGTTTGAACCCATTCTTGCAGCCACTGGAAAACTTAAACATGTAGTCTATACCGCTGTCATAGCAGTCTTTTAAGCGGCTAGTCCAATCATGTAGTCAATAGCTTTAGATTCCACCTATAATAAACTTCAAAGTCCTTACAGAATTGGAAGGAGCCCTGGTAGGATAGTGGTTACACGGGGGCTGCTACCTGTCAGGTCAGCCAGTGGAAAGCAGCAACCACTCTGTGAGAGAAAGATGAGCCTTTCTATTCCCATAAAGAATTACAGCCTCAGAAACCCACAGGGGCAGTTCTACCCATTCCTATAGGGTTGCTACGAGTCAGCATTGACTTGATGGCAGTGAGTTTTGGGTATTTTTACAGGATTGGAGCCCTGCCCTTGCTCTAACCACATCTACTTTTCTGTGGGCTTTGAGGGCAGGGGCAGTGTTTATGTGGTTAATAAACCCAAAACCAAACTCACTCCCATTGAGTCAATGCTGACTCAGTGACACCTTTCGGATTTTCAAAACTGTAACTGTTCACCGGAGTAGAAAGCTCAGCCTTTCTTTCTTGGAGCTGCTGGTGGTTTCGAACTGCCTACCATGTGGATCACAGCCCAAATAGTAACCACTATCTCTGTGTGGTTAATAGCTGTATGTAATTCATGGTAAGCTTTAGTGGCATAGTAGTTAAGTGTTGGCCTGTGATCTAAAAGTTAACAATTCGAAACCACCAATGGCTCTGTGGAGCAGACTGGAGTTTTCTACTCCTATAAACAGTTATAGTCTCGGAAATTCAAGGGGCAGTTCTATGCTGTCCTACAGGGTCACTCGGAGTCTGCATCAACTCGATGGCAGTGAGTTTTGGAATGCACGTTAAAGCCAATAAACACATGTTGGAGAAATGAACAAATGGGAGGATGACCTCCTCGGTTCTAGGACTGGCCAATATGAGCTTTTTCCATTTTCCGGTCATCGTTCACGGACTACAAGCCCTGGGGCATCCCACGTGCTCGCACTGGGCTTGCAAGGTGAGGTCTCGGGCCTCTTCTAACGCTGACGTCATAAGGAGAGTCACGTGTCGTCAAGGCCCGCCTCCGTGCTAACCTCATGGCCACGCCCTCGCCGTGACGCCTCCGGCCTCAGCCCTTCTCCCAAGTCTACCCGCCTCGTTGGACAGAAGCGCGCTCACGAGCTTCTGAGGAGGCTGTTCCTGTCGTTGTGGCGACGGTTGCGGGTGTTGTGCAGACAGTGAGCTGCCGAGGCACCTTCGGAGACGCCTCCTCGCGGGACCTCCCTCCTCCATCTTCTCCCGGAGCGCACGGTACGGGGCGCGCGCGCGCGCGCGCTCCCCAGGGGTTGACCTCGGCCAGCGCCGCCCGCTCCCCGCCCCCGCCCGGGGGGCGCGGCAGGAATGCCGGGAGCTGTAGTCCCGTTGCTCCTTGGGGCGCTCACCGGGCACGGAAACGGACTACATTTCCCAGCGACGCCTGGGCGCGCGGCGCGCGCGCAACGACCCGCGGGGCTGAGGGGCTCTTCCCCCTGGAGCCCAGCGTCCGGCTTGTCCCCGCGTCCTGCTGGCCGTGGGCTCCGCGGCGTCTCGAGGTAAGATGGCCTGGGCGAATGGCGGGGACGGTTGTCTCTTCTCCGGAGCGCATATGGGATCCAGGCGGCCGTTGGGTTTCCCCGTCGCGACCGTCCCCGGGGCTGTGGAACGTCTTGCGTTCTCTCCCTGCACGGAGGCTGCTGGCGCAGCCGCGGCCAGGGTCGGGGGTGTCGCTCTGTGGGGTGGACCGCTGGTGTCGCCCGTCTTCTCCCAGGGCCTGTTTATCGCGCCTCCCTGCGTTTCTGTGATAGGGACGGCGGTGGAAAAATACGTGTTGTGTCGTTGGCTTTTCAACGAAAGACGACGAATGGCGAGGCGGTGGCAGTTTCCTCAAGGGACAGGTGTCAAGAGGAGGGTCCCCGGGACGAAGATGCCCCAGTGGAGCTGTGTAGATGACCTTGGCAGCCCCCAGCCCGCGGTCGTTTCCCCCGTCGCCTACTCCCTCCCCTTCTTGCCTGCTCCTGTGAATTGGGAACGTGGCCCCACACCGCTGTGGGCCTGACCTCGGGTCACCGAGGACCTTGGTGTATTTGAATTCACAGCGTTATACTAGATCGGACTAGAGTACTGGACTTCTTCAAGATGTGCATTTGTGTTGCTTTTCAGTCTAAATGCACCCTGAGGGTCTCTCAACAAGTGACAAGATGGACTCATTGGCTGACAAGTTTCTTCAAAGCCTGCCCTTAACAACTGCCTGAGGTCCTGGTTACCAGGACGGGGCCCACCCCCAGGGTTCTGATTCAGTAGTTATCTGGTGTGTCCCAGGAATGTGTATCTAATAAGCTCCCCAGATAGTCCTCAGGCCCACTTGGGGTTGAAAAGCTCTGTCCTAGAGTGAGGACCGCGGAGAGTCTGGGTGCAGAGGGAGTTTCCTGATGTTTGTTGCAGTTTTGCACTTGTTTGGGGCTTGCTTGGGGCCTGCCTCCAGGCTGGGAAGGGCAGTGCCTGAGCAAGTGTGGCTGCTACCTGTGCACTTTGCTTTTCCCTCGAGGCTGACCTAAGAGCTGGGTAGAGAACAGGGTGGCAGCTGTGCCTTGCCCTCTTCCCATCTTCCCATTTCTGAACAGATTGCTCATGGTCATTTAGCATCTAACAAGGTGTCTTTTTTGTTGTTGTTGTTCCCCCACCATTTAATGATGAACCGTCAAAAAAATTTTACAGTAATGCCCATATATACCCATGACCCAGAATGTAGAATTAACATTTGGTGGTTCTTTCTCACTTATATATCCACCCAATGATCTCTTATTTATGCATAATGGTTAAATCACTGCCGAAACCTCCATATCATTATCTAGAATCTTAGGATTCCTCCTGCTTATTGTTATTTTTAGAAACAGAAGCTCTGAGGTAGTGGAAGTCTTGGACTTTAAGCTTTATGGGATAGGCCTCTGCTCTGGAGCCAAGTTAAGAGGCAGGGAAGTATCATTCTAAGTGCAGAAGAAGGGAACGTGTGAGAAAGACTACTTTTCACCTACATAACGTGAGTGATGAAATTACATGAAACCATCCGATTTATCATGTTCATGCAGAGACCATGCCCATTTCAGGACAGTCCCAAAAGTTAATCTCATTAGGCCTTATTTGCCCCTCCTCCCATATTACAGGTAAATCATGTTGTGTTCATTTTCCCTTGTTCTGCTCACTTTTTTTATAGTCTCCTGCTTGATAGTATAGAAATCGTTTGAAAGTGTTCATTTTGATCCTAATTTTCTAATAAAAGTCAGGAAGTCATGGACCAAGTTTGGTGGTCCCCCAGTAATTGAAATAAGAGCACCCAAGACTGCATTTATTTCTATTAATTTAAGCTGTGAAATTATAGCACATTAGTGCCACAATTGAATGTGAAAACCATATTGGGTTGTCTTGGGTGAAATAATTAGGTTATGTTAAGTCTGCCTATTTCATAGTGTAAATCCTGTCTGAGTGTCAATTGAACGCAGCAACATGTAAGAGAAAATTGGTGTATTGAGCTTATAAGAATAAAGCATAGGGATTGAAAGGTTGGCAAAAGATGTACAGATGGATGGACAAGTTATTTGGGTGGGTGGTGGGGAGATGGTGATGCCTCAGGGAGCACCCTTGTTGTAAAGGCTGAAGGAGTGCTGGGCAGGGCGGGTTGCCCCGCTGGCAGTCTCTGAGGTCAGTCTGTTGGTCTTGCAGATGCATTCTGCACCTTGTGGCTCCGTGGGTGTTTGTGGGAGTGCTTAGAGAAGCAAGTTGTGCAGCCCACTTGAAGAACTGGGTGCTGATAAACTAGAGAGTATATCTCAGGGCTTTGGTGGTCAGTTTCCTTGATTCTTGTCACAACCGCCATGAGCCAACCTTGTTCACTTGCTGTGTGACCATAACACTGTTGAAAGCCCATGAATGTATTTTTCCTTCTAGAGGACAGGGATATACAGTGATTCAAGGAGTTATTTCTTAGTGACATCTCTGCCCTCACATGGAGTCAGGGAGCACACAGGGCAAGCAAGCTCTGTACAGAGCTTTGATTCCCCAGTGGGAGAAGAGAAGTGTCTAGTCAGGCCGGCAGCTGTGGGGTGAGGTCATGATACACCCCCATACAAGGGACCTGGAAATGAGAAGGCACAGAGTAACTGCAGACTGGCTTGTAAGGTGAAGAATAACACCAAGGCCTCCCAAACCCACCCCACTGTCAGCAAGTTATTTCTGGCTCATGGCAACCCTTTATGGACAGTAGAACTGTGCCTATAGACTATATAAATCTCTATGAAAGCAGACAGTCTCAATCTCAGCTTGTGTTTGAGGCTCAAAGGGCAGGATTTGCCCCCAAACAAAGATCAGAAGACAGGAAGGAGCAGGAGAGCGGGGCAAACACCAGCCAATAGGAAAGTTGGAATGATAGTGGGGTGCAGAGTGGGGACTGCAACCAATGAGCTTAAAACAAAATGTCTATAGGCTGCTAAATGGAAAGTTAACACATTCTGTAAACTTTCTGCCAAACAATAAAAGGTGAAAAAAGAAAAAAGAAACCAAACAGAACCCTGCCTGCTACTGCTGCTGCTGCAGCCATTAGATGCTGTCAAGTTGGTTCTGAATCATAGTGACCCCGGGTATAGACACACCACCCTCAAAGGTTAAGCCTCTCCTGAGTCAGACATGGTCTCTTGAGAAGGTGCAGTGCAGAGGAGAAGGTGCCAGGGGTGGGGAGTTGGGGGTTAGGGGGTAGGTGGGGCGGGACTGGGGTGTGCACTATGGTTGTGCCAACTGCCTCTTGCTCTTCTGGGAATGGTGATTGTCCTGGGCCCAGTAATGCCTGGACTCCAACTCACAGAGCAGTTGCCCTCTCAGAGCTACATTCCCTATGTCTATCACAATGAAGCACAACCCCAGGACTAGGAAGACCTGTATAGACTCTACATACTGAAAAGATTAAGGTCCTCTAAAGTTAAGTGCTCAGCTTCTAACTAAGCAGTTCTCAATCTTTGGGTCACGACCCGTTGGGGGGGTCGAACGACCCTTTCACAGGAGTCGCCAGATTCATAACAGTAGCAAAATTACAGTTATGAAGTAGCAACGAAAATAATTTTATGGTTGGGGGGAGTCACCACAACATGAGGAACTGTATTAAAGGGTCGAGGCATTAGGAAGGTTGAGAACCACTGTTCTAACCAGAAAGTCAGCGGTACAAATCTACCAGTTGCTCCCTGCAAGAAGAGGCCTAGTGATCTGCTCCTGTAGAGATGACAGCCTGGGAAACCCTATGGGGCAGGCTTACTCTGTCCTGCAAGGTTGCTGTGAATTAGAATCGACTGTATGGTACACAAAGTATATGCAATGCTAAACCACACACACACACACACACATACACACACAAATGTGATAACTCTTCAGTTCTTTCCATGAAAGTTTCATGGTGGTCCTTTTTTGTAATATCAAACTGTTTATCCAGAAAATGTTTCTCGTCATCTTTTTCAAGTGTCTGGGTAAAACTCCCAGGAGAAAAGACCAGGGAAGGCAGACATAGGTAACAAGAGTTGAGTTGAGTGAGGCCTAGAAAGAATCCTCACCCTTATCACTCTAGGAAGAAAGATTTCGTAATTCTAATGAACATTCCCATCACTTATCTTTCAATTTGTCATATTTTTATGGCTTACGTGTTGCTGTATTGTGGTGGCTTATGTGTTGCCTGAGCTATGCCACCAGTATTTCAAATACCAGCAGGGTCACTTGTAGCAGACAGGCTTCAGCAGAGCTTCCTGGCTAAGACAGACTAGTAAGAAGGACTGGCCATCTTTTAAAAAACAAACACAAAAGGCCAGTTAAAGTCTTAAGAGTAGGAGCTGAGTACTGTCTGATACAGTGCTAGAAGATGAGCCCCTCGGGTTGGAAAGGACTCAAAAATATGACTAGGCAAGAACTGCCTTCCCAAACCTTCCTGTGCGGAGTCACGCTCTCTACAGTCATCCACTGATGCACTCCGACTCAACGAGAAGAAACAACTGCCATCTGTTAATATATGAATCTAAGAAATTGGAAGGTATCAAAAGTGAATTGGAATTCATAAAGATAGTTATCCTATAAATTAGTGAGCTGAAATGGGCCAATATTGGCCATTTAAAATCAGACTATCGAGGAAGGGAGGGGGAGGGGGAAAAAAGAAAAATGAGCTGATTCCAGGAACCCAAGAGGCAAGCGAATTTTGGGAATGATGAGGGCAACAAATGTATAGATGTACTCTACACAATTGATCT